GAGAGAGAGAGAGAGAGAGAGAGAGAGAGAGAGAGAGAGAGCAGAGCCTTTTCTAAGTAGAAAGGAAAGTTACTGGGTGCTGAACTAGAATTTGCGATGATAGCAATACACATTTGAAGTAATTCTTTACTTCAAAGGACTAACCTCTTGTATGCCTCGGTCTCACTCACTGGTGGAAGCATCAAGAAAGAAGGAAGGATCATGAAGAAGAACCAGATAAGCAAGAGCTGTTTTATTGAGTAGTTCCTATATTCTTGGTACGTTGATAAGGGTTTTGCAACACCTTTCTCCTAAAAATCTTGCAAGAATTCTAGGAGTTAGTTATTATTATCTTATTGACTTATCTCTATCAGGCAACTACAGCACAGAGAGGCCAGGTACATTGTCTAGCATCACCGCATCATACATTAGTAAACTGTAGAACCAAATTAAAACCTGATGTTCTAGTTTTCCCTCTGAATTATAAAGAAAGGTCAATAAAAGACTTTACGAAAACATAAGCAAACTTATGGACTGACCTAGAAATATAATTAGATTGATGCCTCCCGGTTATAAGTATTGTGAAATAGACACAGATATACTGACTTGCACAAGATATACTCTAACTTGGCTCTTACTGATGTCAACATTTTCTCCTAGATTTTATCAAACAATGATCTCTGTCATTACTAAACAAAGACTTGGTGAACACTTCAGGATAAATTATCTGCAAAATATGCTTGCAGGTAACTACTTGAGTTAACATTTTCAATAAAACTGTTAGCTAAATCCAGTAAAATATCTTCGGAGGAAATTTACTGAAAATAAAGCTGGCCTTTTGGAATAACGAAACCATCCTTTTGAAGATAATTAGATCACCAAGCACATTTGTCTTTCAAGACTGAGTTGGGGTCATGACAATAAAAACATGTCAACCCCATAGATGAATTAAACTACCTCTGTCATTTTAAAATATATTTTCTTCCAATATTTTGTATGCAAGTTTTACATATTGTTAGGTGCCCTCAAGTCAGCTCTGACCC